GTTATTAATTTGGGATTGGGGAAGGGGTATTTATTTTACAATATTTTATTAAACTATACATATATATAAATTATATTTAATAAGAAAAAGTTAAATATTGGAATTTGAAAGACAGTGAAACTTCCTAGTCTTGTTTTATGTTTTTTTGTCATTATAGAGTATATTAACTACTACAAAGCTAGGTCTAGATTGAATGTCGTATAGGCAACTTACACTCAATATGTCCAAAAGTGAACTGGTTATCTTTCTCCTTCCTCACTTTCTCCTTCCCTCACTCCCTTCCTTTTTTTATCTCATTTCTTCCACATGCATTTATTGGTTGCCTGCTATTGCCAGGTACAATACTAGGGAATGGGCGTGCAATCCTGAGTGAGATAGTTACAATCCCTGCTCTCGTGTAACTTACAAACTAGCTAGTAAGACACATTCAACAAATGAGTTATTTTAGAGTTGATCTGTGTGATGAAGGAAAGCACAGAATTTATACAAGTGAATAACGTGCAAATAAGATGGAAACTTAACTTAGTCTGGGGGTGCTTGAGAGAGTCATGGATGCCAACCCTGAGCTGAGACATGAAGGATGAAGTGGAGGTGGGGAGGTTTCTAAGCAGAAGTAACATAATTTTCCCTAGACTTATGCATTCTTTTCTTTTTTCTTTTTCTTTTCAAACACAATCATCCTCCCAGTCACCCAGGCTTAAAATCTTCACATTATCTGTGACTATTCTCCTTTGCTTCAACAAATAATCAGTTGCCCAGTTTTCCTGATTCAGTATCTTCTTTCCTCTATTCCCATAAATGACTGAATTCTCAATCTCACTACATTAGTGACATCCTTCTTTACCTTTTTCCCACAGCTTTATTTTTTCTTTTATTCAGCAAACAGTTCTTGAGCACTTTCTGGGTGCCAGGACCTTGCTAGTGCCAGCATTACAGAATTGAACACGATAACACAGCTGTCACAGAGCCTACACTCTCATACAGTGCCGCGGGACCAGTGCTGTGATGAAGTAGGGACAGGGAGCTAAGCCACAGGGAAGGCTTCCTCTTCCCAGAGGAAGGAATATTCAGGCTGAGGCCTGAGGGTGAACAGGAATAAGCCAGGTGCAGGTGAGACAGTCGGCTCATCCAGGCAGAAGAAACAGCATATGCAAGGACTGGAGGGGTGGCTGCGTGGAAAGTAATGATGTAGTTGAGAAAAGCTGTGTCAACCAACTTAGATGATTTTGTAATTTTGCCTTTTTTGTAAGAGCACTGGGAGCCACTGAAGGTTCTAGGCAGGAGAGTGAGGTATCAGAGGCATCGCACCAGCTGCCATTTGGGGACTGGAGTAAAGTGAGACACAGGAATAAGATACAAGAAAAGGAAAAGGTTTGCTGGCAAAGATGGTGAATTCGAGGGTTTCTTCTCCCAACTGGTTTTCTCACTTTCAGTCTCTTCCCCTTCCGTAGCCAAGCCCGGAACACACTTCTGATCAACTCAAAGGAGTTTAATGGCATGTCTACTGCTCATGGAATAAAATCTGAATTCCTCACCCTGTTGTTCAAAGCTCACAATGACCTGGCCCCAGCTCTGTTGTAAAGCTCCTCTCGTCGTCTTCCTGGCTGTACCCATCCCCTCCACACTGCGCGGCTTTCCCAAAACCGTGCCTTCGTCCTGGGCTCCCTCCGCCGTCCTCTTTGCCTGCACCCTCCAACCTGGTCCTCCTTCCTGCCCTTGCTCAGATGTCCACCCTCCCTGGATAACTTCACTTGTTTCCACTGAGAATAATGTCCCTTTTCTCTGACTCCTCAGTGTGATGCAGTTCACAGTATAATAGCGTCTGTCGCCTCCCCCACACGGTAGAGCTATATTGAGAAGCAGGGCAGGGTAGCTCTTATCAGCATGAACTCTGGAACCAAACTGCCTGGATTCAGATCCCAGCTCTGACGCTTCCTAGCTGTGTGACCCTGGGCACATCACTTAAATTCTCTGTGCTTCATTCCTCTTCCATAAAATAAAAGTCCCTACTGTATAAGGTATTGTGAGGGTTAAATGAGTAAATAATGCAAAAATGCTTAGTGTCTAGCAGTAGTTAAGTGCTGTGTAACTATTTGGTATGATCATACTATTATTTTTATCATTTACATGTAATATCCACTCTTGTTAATTATAACTTCTTTGAGGACTTAATCCATATCTGATTTATTTTTATGGTTTCTAAATCCCTTACTGCCTAACACAGAGTAAATAAATACTGAATGTGTGAATTAGAATCATAATGAGTAGTGGACCCTGACCGGACTTTTCAAATAGTTTATTTTGAAGATAACATTTTCTTAATTAAGTTAGCTAATATAGACCATTCAGCAAATATTTAATATATGTAAATTTTCTGTGGGCAAAGCGTAAAGAATATATGAAGCAGCACGCCTTCTCCAATTTTACATCTGGCTCAGAGAGACACCCATACAGCTAACTACAGTATAAGATAAGATAGAAAAAGTATACAGTCAAAAAGCTACTGGAGGAATTCAAAAGGCTTGGCTGGCATGATTAGAAAAGAATTCATTGAGATGATGCAATGGGATGGTAACTTTTAGAACAAAGCATATTTAAATCAACTCTCCTAATAATATTAGCCAATACTTATTGAATATTCACTGTACCTGGCACTGTGTTTATCATATTTAAACTTCAAAACAGTCCCATTTGGAAGTAGCAGTGCTGTGTTCATTTTACAAATGAGGAAACTGAGGCATAGCAAGGCAATGTTAAGTAGTTTGTCAAAGTCATACAACTAATAAGAATAGACACAGGATGGGAACCCAAGGAGACTGAATTCAGAGCCTGTACTCTCCACGACCACACTACAAAATTAGGAGTTCTACTTCACTATTCGCGAGACTGTTTCTAACAACATATTTTATTAAATTCACTGGAATTTCATTTTCTATTTCTTTTTAAACTTATACCTCATCCATGGATGCTGGAAAACATTGACTTATTCTTTCATTTATTTCTGACTGACTCAGTCTTTCACTTATAGTAACAAGTCTTGGAATTCTTTATCTGTGAAATAAAAGTTTAAAGCTATATCAGTAGTTCCCAAACAGTTCAAGAACAATTCTTTCTTTTAAAATAAAAAATCATGCAGACTTCTATATTATAGTTGTTCACCTCTGCTTATTTATTTCCTAGAGAGAGCTTTGTGTGCAATGTAAAACTTGGCAATAAGTCACAGGATTTTGCAGCCCCCAAGAATCCACTCTTCTAGAATAATCTCTAAGGCCATTTCTAGTGGAAATACTTGAGATTTTATATATTCTAGACTTTAGGTCTCTATCTCTCTAGTTTCTAATATGTCATTTCTCTCTGCCATGGGAAGGAACACATATGCTCCCCTAATCCCTTAATCCTCTATCAAGTTTTTTCTATTTTTTTTCCCCTACGTCTTCCCTTCTTCCTTCAGCCCAGATTCCTTAATAAACAATAAAACTTACTTCGCAGAACTCGTAATTACTACTGGACTCCTCTGCAAAGGAATTATGTCTAAAACATATGAGCTAAAACTAGAATATAAATTTACAGAATTTTACTTTGATTTGTGAAAATAGTAAGTAAAAGAAAGATTTTTAATATCAATTTTTGGATTAATCCAAGCAATTTTCAGAAATCAAATATGTATCTTCAGCATAGACCTAGTGAATTAGAAAATTGAGGACAAGTACTGTATATAAGTGAAAGAATAAAATTGAAAATTTTTTGAAAATTTTTGACTTCAAGAGCAGACAAAGCAACATTATCTCCCATCCACACCTATTTTTACCTTTCTTTCATTTCTCCTTGACACCTTTGTCCAGTCTTTTTCCCACCCCTTAAGAATTAATCCTTAATGGTATTGTCAATACTTAGTTTAATATCTTTATATAGTAGAAATATTTGAGAAATGCCAGCATAGAGTTATAGGTGATGTCATTCTTGGTACTGCTGGAGAGTGGGGCTCCATTTGTAAGATATCAACAAGAAAATGTCTGCACCCCCCAAGTCTCCCAGCTCTGCTTTATGTTTCCCAATACTCACATCTTTGGGATGAAAAACCAAACTAACACTCAGCGTTTTAGGAGTGGGTATATTTTTCTGTTATGATGACCTTGCTCTACACAGAATCAGTTCAGGCCGGCTGCTCCAGCAGAAGAGTAGAAGTCTATGTTCTTCAGCAGCATTAATCCTTTAGCTGTGCAGGGTTCCTTAGGCAGGGCCAAACCAATTCCTATTCTGTGAGGGCTTCCTCAAAACCACACAGCATACAAAAGGCCTTGGACATGCCTTTTGACCATCCCCCTGGAATTGGCCACTTGTTCCTTTGTGTCCCACTGAACCTGCACAGATGTTTATCGGAACACCTCTGCTGCTTTAATGCAATTTCTTGTTTACATATCTCTTTTCCTTTTCTTATTGGCCTGTGTATCCACAGCATCTAGTATAGTGCCTGGCTCATGGTAAATGCTTAATTAATATTTGTAGAATGAAGACTCTGGAGTGAGAAGGCAGGAGTTAGTGAGGTTATTAAGCCAAGTACCAAGTGAAGTAATAAATATGGAGTGGTAGATTGACTGGCAGGGCAGTACAGGGTGGTCCTGTCAGGGCTGTTTCAGACAGGGGAAAGTATTACTAGAAGTGTGGAGACTGGAATAGGTAGGACTCCAATGGAAAACAGCAGTGGAAGCTAGCTTGGCTAGCCCATCTGGGGAAGTAACATACCAAAGACTTAGAGACAATTGATAGAAACTCCTGAAAGTTAGAAGTAAAAAATTTAGACTTAATTTAAAAGCAATAGGGAGACTTTATGGTTTTGGGATTTGGACAAGGATCAAAATAATATTTTAAAGTTTTATTCAGATGGATGTATGCTTATATCAAAATTCATATGTTAAACATCAGATTATGAAATATCGATTTTATTCTGTGGGTCATCACTTGATCCTGAAGGTCTCTTTCTTTCTCTTCTCATCCCACAGGTTGTTATTTTGTACTTTGAGCCAAGCACATTTCGCTGTATTCTCCTAAGATGGGTTCGTCTTCTCGGTTTTGCTACAGTTTATGGAACTGTCACTCTCAAGCTTCACAGGTATATCATATTTTATTACTTTTCATTCCCATGGGAGGATCAAAGTGTTCAGCTTAGCGTGTGATTGCAAGCTGGGTCAGCCACTTAAGTGGTTTGATTTCAAGAATTTAGATAGCAAGATGATATATATTTTCATTTTCAAGGCAATATTTTTAGGATTCTCTAGGAAAATCTCTAATACAACTGAATTTGAACAACATGCTTTAATAAAATGTGCCATTAGTTGTGGAAAAGTCAATTCTGAATAAAAAATAAGTTTAGAGTGAATGTGAAACAGCAGTTATTAGCTAAGAACAGGAATAAATATAGAGACAATATAGCTGAAATAATAATTCAGGTCCAGAGAGACCAAAGAATCCTATATAGCAGAATTCAGCAATGTGTTTATTAGACAAGATCTGCTGTCCTTCATTCCTAAATTCCATGCCCCAGGGTAATCCTGCTCCTATTCTAGGAGGGAAGCTCTAAAAGGTAGTATTCTTGGCTTTCCTCCTTAACCAAGGTACTACAGTGATTATCAACCTTGTAAATTGAGACTATTATAAATTCCCTTATGCTTTGTTTCAAAATCACCTACTTTTAAAAAATGCACATCGTAAATATTAGGAAGAAAGAAGCAATAAATAAATTGCCTATCCACAAAGTCTAGAGATGGCTGGAAATGATTCCAAGGTTTTTCCTTGCCCCCTCTTTCTTTCTCTCAAGTTTTCTTAACGTAGTGGTGCCAAAGAGCATAGGAGAGGAAATATAAATTTCTCCTGCAGGATAAAACTGCAGCTCTGTAGGGGAAACACTTTACACTGATGAGCTTTAAAGCTATTTTGATAACCACAGTAAGCCATTCATATTTTCATGCTAATTTGGCCATAAATGTTTCTCAATAAAAGTATTTTAATATGGCTCATACAATACTTTATCTTAGATGCCATAATATGTAGGATATTTGTCTTTAAATATCCCCCATTTCAACTTTTTTTTTAAATGTGATAATTTTACTATCTACTACATAAGAATCTACATTTCTTTTCCTATGTTTTTTGCTGGTACTTATTTACTGGAAATGCTCCAGATTATCTTTTTGGAACAAATGTAATTATCCTTAACTCTCAAGATTCCTTTCTTATATATGTCATATAGTACCAAGAATATTGGACTGGATTTCAGGACATCCAGTTTAAATCTCAGTTTAGCCTCTAAAAAATCATAGGCCTCTATTTCCTATAGAAGGAAAGGAGTAGACCAATCTCTAATGTTCTTTCTGACGTGCACTTTATTCTTTCCACATCACAGCACTCTTTGCTCTTCTATCTGATTCTTCAAATACCTTCTAGTTTCCATTCTTTATATGACAGCTGTTTTTCAACTGGTGTTCACCAAAGGAAACGAGAAATCATTGACAGTCAATAGTGGACAATAAGCCTTCTAGAAATCCTTAAAGAATGGGTAGCCTTTTGAGACTTGAGAATGACCTCTCTCCTTAGGGGTCTAGCACTCAGCATCTATTGGGTCCTCTATTATGTAATACAGTTTGCTTATTTGATTGTCTTCTTCACTTTTACCTCACTTACCTTCTCCTTGGAGTGAGGGCTTACCACTGACTCCCCAGCTCTTAGCACAATGACTGACCCATGGGAGGTGTTTCATACCAGTAGTTGATGAGTGAATGAATAAAAATGTCAGATGCAGACTTGGAAGCTGCTTCCCACAGTTCTCTCCACACATGAGACATTCATATTCCCCTGACTCACTGTGTGTCCTCAAGTGTCTTGAACACGTAACACTGTGGTCTGCAAGAGGCTATTTGGTGGGACGCAAACACAGTTTTAAATAGCATTGAATCATATAGTGAGAAAATTACTTCCATTCAGCTTCTTTCAATCTTTCTGATCATTTCCAGGAGAATAATTAGTTTGGAACTCATAGGTCTGTAACACCTGCCAAACCTTGCTAATCTTCCATTACAACATAAAGGGGATCAAGCTTCAGGCTCACGGTTTTCATTACAGTGCTGTCTAGATAAAATTTATTAACTCTGTTTCAGTGTATTTATTTTCATAGCTATTTTCTATTTATGGGTTGTCTATCAATTTTTCATTAAAAGCAGCAATATAAAGTTTCCTTTAAAATATTTTAAAGCAATAAATACAAATTAATTTAAAGAAAATATTAGCTGTTGCACAGATATAGCAGAGATCTTCAGGGTGGCATGCAAATGATTGGAATTTGGGAAACCAAATGACTTTATCATTCTTTTGTTTGTTTTAAAGACTGAAGTTAAAACTGTTTTCTCTCTATGTGTCTCTAGAACTCATTGCGGTGACAAATTACCCCAGTGATGGCTTAAATCGAGTGGAAACTATTTCTAATTTAATGAGCTGAATTATTCTTATCCTTTCTGAACCATATGGCTTTATATTGTATTCTGGGTTTTTTTCCATATTGCTTACACTTAACTGATCCCAGTATTGTTTATGTCTATAAACTGAACAATCAGCATCTCAGAGGAATGTGAGCAACCTGATGGAAGTGACTGGCTGAAACAGCTTTGTATTCCCCATTCTTAGTGCTGCATCTTGCTCATATTATATATACAGATGCTTGTTAAATGAGCGGATGGGTAGATAGTTGTAGGGAATGGAGCTGTAAGAAGTGTCTTTGGTTGGTATCTCTTAGAGTCAAGCAAATGTGGCCCTGAAGAAAGGACTTCTAAGATTTTGTAGTAATACAATAGAGAGGAAAGAGATAACTCCTAACAAATCCAAATTTTAATTTCATTTCTGCCATATTTATACCACCAAGAATAAATTACTTTAACATCTGAGAATCACCTTTCTCACCTCACCTGTAAAGTTGTAGTAAAAATTAAACATGATTGGAACATATGTAAATGTGTCAAGTAGGGGGTTTTGGTTGCAAACCACAGGCACTGACTATGGCTAAGTTAAGCAAAAAGGGAATTGGTTGGAAGGATATGGGGAAGGTCACAGAACTGAAGGGAAAGCTAAAGAACCAGGCTTTGGAGGACCTGACCCAAGGTAGCTTGAGGGATCAAGGTAGCATGGGCTAAGAGATAATGTTCCTTGAATACCATAGTCTCATTTTCATAGGAACTGCATCTTCTATTTCAAGATGTAAAAAAAAGTAAATCCTACCTGTCTAGACAGAAAATTCTGAGGAAATTATCAGTACTGATATATAAAATGACTGTTATAGTCCCTTGAGAATAGGACAGGCAAGAAAGACCTGAGATTTTGTTTTATTTCAACCATTTCCCTCAAGGCTTAGTAAAATTATTGAACATTTCTTTCTCCATCTCCTGGTCTCTCTCTGATTGGTTATAGTATTTACAGAATTCCAGTAGCTCTGAAAATTTGAATCAAATATGAAAAAAGAGCAGGATCTTACTCTGTCACCAGAAATTACACCATTAGCCTGGAACAGAAGCTTAAAGGTTTCATTCACTTTTACCAAACCTCCCACTTTTTTCTTTAGTGGTCCCTCCCCACATTTGAGAGTCATACAGCTGAAGACTACCATACCAATCCAAAGGAAAATTGCAGAAGAGTCCTTTGTTTATTAACAGTGCAGTACAGGGGTGTAACAAGCTGGGGGCGGGGATGAGACTGGTCCTCCCCTTGAGGGAGGAGTATTTTGTCACTGACATTTAGAATCACCCTCACATGGTGGTGGCAAAAAGCAGACCAACTTTTTGTTGTCTTTATTATTGACTTAAATTCTCTGCAGACAAATCTCCCCTTTGTTACCTGCACCCAGGGCAGACCAGTCCCACCGGCCCACCTCCTTGGCAGGCCGTTCATGTAACTTATTTGAAATTGAAACTGTTTCTTCCTCTTTGAAGAAAGAAAGAAGGGAGAATGGTACAGGTTTTAGCTAGTCACTATGGATCATAAGGAGCTGAAGTAGGCAAAAATGAGGAAAGTTCATTTATAAAAAGGAGTTTCCTTCAGTAACCATAAATATGTCTGACTTAGTACATGAATTATGGAGGATGCATCTAAAAGTACATCTAGCCCTTCCGTGGATACATGGTTCACAGAATGCTTGCTAAGCTAGGTGTGTTTGTTTTAGGCGACTTGGGAGGGCGATATCTCTAGGCTCAGAAAAGCCAAGTGTATTATTCAGGAGGCAAAATGAGGAAATGTTTTTAAATGAAAGGGGGTGGAGAGGGATTAAGAAACTTAATGCTAAAAGAACATTTTCCTATTCCCTGTAATATGGTTTCTGAAAACACATTGCCTTTTCCTTTTTCTAAGGCTAATGAAGAAAAAAAACAAAAGATTTTTTTTGTACTATATTTAAAATGAATACTTAAGTAAGCTGCAAAAAAGCCTTCTCCTGGCTCTGGACTAGGGATTTTCATTTCATGCATTATTCAGTACTCCTTGCTCTGGATACAACACAGTACATAGCAGTTTTCTCTACTGTCCTCATTAGCACAAAATATTTACGGTTTGTGGGAAGGTTTTTATACACATATTTTAGTTTGTCTCCTAGTAAATTTTAAAAAGTGATTGGAAGTTATTTATATTTATTTATTTATTATGTATTCTTATAAGGCTATATAAAATACAGTAAGATATCTTAAATTTTTTAAAGAGCAAAAGAAAGAAAAGCAAGTGTGTGACTCTATAGAAAAGCTAAGAGCTTGTAGCAAAATGAAGATTGTCTCTTTAGCTTAACTTGTGATAAGCACTGAGTGGCAGGGAATTTGAGATGGAGCCTTAGGCAAATGCCTGAAGTCCAGTTTTTGTACTTTGTCTATTAAGTGTAGACCTATCTGCTTTAACAGAGCATTGAACAAGGTGTTGATTAACCCTCATTTACGAAAGGCAAAAAAATAATAACCTTTCTTCTTAGGTGGCTAAGAAAATGCCTATGGGCATGCACAAAATTCTTCTAGAAGTCTTCTTTGTTTTACCCCAGCACACAGACGAATGGTGTTTAAGGTCCCAAATCATGACCCAAAGGGTTTTATCATG